ATTATAAGTATATCATAAATAGCAGTAATTATCAAACTTATCTGGTACTGATTATAAAGAAGCAACTGAACAAAAGTCAAGTAGTGTTTAATAAATTCAAAGATTCTAACTACTGGGATAAGGACACAATTTGACAAAAACAGTTCGGAAAACTGTCAAGTAGTGTGACATTAAATCAATGGTGTTGGTTGTAAGCCATTTCATACTACACACCATGGGAGCAGCTAGGTGGCACAGTGGATAGAGCTCCAGTCTTGGAGTCAGGAGGACCTGAGTTCAAATCTGATGTCCGACGCTTGACACTTACTAGCTGTGTGACCCTGGGCAAGCCACTTAACCCCAACTGCCTCATGGGGTAAAAAAAAAAAAAGATTGACCAAAAAAAAAAAAGAGAGAGAGATAACTATGCTTATTTCTTACAAAGGGCTTTTTTTCTCCCTTCAACTTGGGAGAAGGGGGAGTATAAAAGACAGAGGGGCTAGGGACATGGTTGCCAAAAAAAAAAAAAAAAGTTTTATAAATGAACAGTAAAGAACAGAAGGTAGCCCAGAAGGAATCACAGACAAGCAAGACAACTTTGAAGGTGACATGATGAATTTTATACTTAAAAAGAAAAGCAAGCTACACATAATGCAAATTTATAAAAAAAAAAAAACAAAAAAACATGCGCTACAATCAAGGCTAGATTTGGTCAAAGGAAGGCTTAATATCCAATATGATAAAAATGCAGTTTCATGAATGTCAAAGTCTTTAAATTCAATGCCAAATCATGTCAAACAAGAGACTGCAGCAAAAGGAGGACATATTGCATATTACAAATTTTTTAAATATGTAAAAAGTTTTCATATTTATTATATAAGTCAGTGAGTTATTTTATCTTGTCCCCCATACTCCTGTACTTAAGATTAGTGGACATAAATCCCCCCTTTTTGAGGAAAGAAGAAAACACACACAAGCAACAATATCTAAAGGATAGTGGGATTTTTTTTTTCATCCCGATTGTACCATAATGCTTCCATTAAGACAAACACAATAAAAACAATGCTAATACAGTGTTAAAAATAAAACTTCTTACATTAGATACAGTATATTATAGTTGAAATCATTCCTGTCTACTCCTAGCTATAGGTGTGCAAATGGACATACTTCCATTAACAGTAAAAGCTCTGTGGGAATCTATGTCTGTCATTTTAGGATCAACTTAATTAAGTTCATAGAGGCTAATCAACTAGAAGAAATGAAGTTTATAAAACAAAACATTCATTAATTTCTGGCTATTAAGATACAAAGGATTAACAACCTACAAAAATGAACAAGGTAGGAGCAGCTGGGTGGTGCAGTTCAAATCTGGCCTCAGACCAAACACTTGACACTTACTGGCTGTGTGACCCTGGGCAAGTCACTTAACCCCATCTGCCTTAAAAAAAAAAAAATGAATAAGGTATCCATAGTAACAAAATGACAGATAATTATTAGGAGACAATAATAACAATTGTTGTTGTTCAGTCATTTTAGTCACATCCAATTCTTCATGACTCCATTGGGGTTTCCTTGACAAAGATACTGAAATAGTTTGCCATTTCCTGCTCCGGCTCATTTTACAGATGAGGAAACTGGGGCAAACAAGGTTAAGTGCCTTGCCCAGGGTCAAACAAGTAGTTAGGTATCTATGGCCAGATGAGTCTTCCAGATGCCAGGTTGGGTACTCTATCCACTGTACCATCTAGCTGCCCTAATTCATAGTATTTATATAGTGCTTTAAGGTTTGCAAAGCACTTTACATAAGTTATCTCATTTAAACCTCACAACTCTGAGAAGTAGGTGCTAATATTATATTCATTTTACAGATGACGAAACTGAGAGAAGTTAAGTGACCTGTTCAGGGTCACAAAGCTATTAAGTATCTGAATCTGCATTTGAACTCAGGTCCTCTTGAATCCCAATCCAGCCCTCTACCCACTGCACCACCCAGATGTATATTCATTAAAATTTATCTGAGCAAGTCAGCTCAATTACACTGGTTGGTCCTGTTCTTTGAGAACCTAGAAAAGTAGACTTGATTACAACACTTTCTTATAAATTTGTTTCAGTATCTAATATCAATTTGAATGCGAAAATGTTTCTTATGCATGTAGAAAACTGGATGTCCCAAAAAACAACTTATTTTATGTTTTGCCTGATCCAGTGACATCTGCTACATAAAGTATATTTGTATAAAATTTTGGTTCTCTGCTTTATTTCATTACTGTTTCCTAAAATGTAATAATTAGGTAATGTCTTGTTTGATTTTCAGTACTGATTTTCAGTAACATTTCTGAAAATGTTAATTTTCAGAAAAGTTACTCAAGTAATATTTCTAAACAGTGATTCTATAAAAACAGACAATTTTAAACAATTTCCTCAGTTTTGGATCATGGACATTTAGGAGCTGGAAGGGTCTTTGGAAATCACCTGGTTCAATTCTCTTTATTTTAAATAAATAAACTAAGGTCCAAGTTAATTTGTCCAAAATCACACATAAGAGTTTGTGGCAGAACGTGGACTAAAACTCAGGTATCCTAGCTCCAAGTCTGGTGCTGTTTGCATCCATTACAATGACTATACAGTTACATGAGAATTCCAAGTCAAACATAAGCTGCCTGGTTTTTGTAAAAGAGATGACATGCATTTCTCTAGGCGCAGACTAGAGCCTCACTAGATTACTTCTAATGTGCTTTTGGCAAAGCTAAGATCAGACAGCAACTGAAATTCACTACTTTTTAAAATAAGCACATGCAAAGGATACTGACAAATAAAATGACATAGCTAAAGGGTTTGACATCCTTTATTTCATATTGTTTTCCCAAAAAGTTTGCCAAATTAAAAAAAATTTGTTTTGCATCACCCTCAATGGTGCCAATTTTGAAGCCAACCCAAACAAATGTCTCATACTGTCCCCTGTGTAAATTTTGCCCCTTTAAAATTTCAGTAATTTATAAGCAGGAATTATGCCACATAATTTTGTATCTTTCCCCATGCCTAGCAAAAGGTTAGGTCCATTCATTCACTCCCCAACTTATTTAGTATATTTTATGCTTGTCTACCAATACAAATTTTAAATAAGTCCATAATACGTTACAGACATTCAAGAAGATTTTCTTGAATTGAATTATATGAATTTCATACTCCTGAAAGAAATACTATGATAAAGAAACACTAAAATATTGGATAAGAAGTATTAGCAAAAATACTACAGGATAAGTGCAAAACCCACAGAATTTATACAGGAATAAATTACAGAAAAAAAAATCAGACTACCTGCTAGATAAATAATGGCATCTATAACAACCAAGGAAAATTGCAGGTATCTGAATTATGCAAATTTGATCATTACAACTTAGTAGAAGTGATTATAAGATGGAAACTTACTAAAGGTGTTTACCACTACCATGAAGTATTCCCACCAGGCCTGTCCCTCCTGGAAGCTGAGATTACCAGCATGTGCCATCAGAGCCTGTCCTTTTACTTCTTTTGTCAGATTTTTCCCTACCACCATTTCTGTATTCCAAATATGTCAATCTTTCTTTTGCTTCTTTGGAGAAAATCTCTACTATGGATTTAATTTTTTCTTCTAATTTGCTGATTTATTTTATTTCTATAGTAGAAGCTATAATTTCTGACATTCCTAATGTTTTTATCTTTATAGATTCTATTTCTCTTTTGAACCACTCTGGAATTTCTTTTTATTGATTCATACTCTTCTAGAATCCCACATGACTGTTTCAATAAGTACTAGGTCATTTCTTTTGTTTTATAATATCTGTTAAAAAAAGCTTTATAATCAGATTTAGTACTCATTCTCTTAGGTTTAGAACCCTTGGTGTTCACTTATCTATTTGTACTATGGTTTTTTGCTGAGTTTTCTTCCTCTTGAAATCTTAGCATTTTAAAAGCCTTCTTTCTTTATATTCCCCCGTCATTTCACTTTTTGAATTCTCCCCATTTTGAGGTACATACATCATCTCTTCCTACCTAATAGTCTTTGGCCTCTTCTCACATTTAGGGTTCATTGGCCTGAGTTCCAATCCTGTACAGTGGAGGGTGAACCTCTGCTAGGTTTTCCACTGCAGCCACCCACACTGGTCTCTAGCCCTTCCTCCTTTCCATTTCCACCTGAGCTGAATCAGTTATCTGCCACTTTCTGCAAGGGAGAGGGTGGAGATGGAGAAATATTCTAATGAGAATCTCTATAGTTCTGAGGGTCCCTAACATAAGATTGGCCCTAGACAGAATGCTTCCTTCCCTTCTTCCTCCTCACATAAGTTGAGATTCTATATCGGTGGAATCACTCTCTGCCCCTTGTTTCAGTGGGGGACCAGCAGGAGGTAAGATGTGTTAGCCATGTCTCTGCAGCATAAGGGGATCCCAATTTTATGGGTTCCAAACACACACACAGAGGTTGGTTTGTATATACCTGCTTGAACTGTGAAGGATGATGGGGAAAGATGTTAGATGAGTGCTTTAAAGATTAACATTTTACTATTTTAATTCATAAGGATTTAACCTTATCAGTGTTTTCTTTTTGGTACTACTGGATGCAGTTATAACCACCTTATTTCTGGTGCATAATTCCTTTTTAAAATCTTTTTTTGAGAGTCAATAAGTTTGAAGAAAGTTCCTAGCCCACAATATTTTTGGTCCTATGACCCTGAAGAATACTCCTCCAAAACTTTATATTGATTGTAACAAAAGAAGAGATGAACATCTAAGGTAAGTGTATGTCATTGTCACAGAAATCACACAAAGTCCAAGTCAAGGAGAGTTTTTCTACAAATGCTGAAGTCTTCCAGATGTTCCTTCACAGATGGCATTATGCTGATTGCATCAAACTCTCGAATATTGCAGAATCTCCTAAATTATATCCATAATCATTATGAAGATTTTGACTTAACTATCCACACAGGAAAAGAACAAGTGGATGAAAAACACAGCTGAATGGACAATCAAGATATCTTGGACAAGTGCTCACTTCAGCAACACAGACACTAAAACTGGAATGCTATAGAGAAGATAAGCAAGGCTCCTGTGCAAGGATAACATGCAAATCTGTGGTGTGTTTCATATTTTTTTCATTCTTTTTTTTTAATGTTTGAGTCTTCTTGCATAAATTAACTAATATGGGAATGTTTTACATGATTGAACATATATAACCTTTATTAGATTACTACCATTGGGGGGGGGTAGCATGGGAAAGACAGAGGGAGGGAGGGAGGAATAGAACTTGGAACTCAAAACTTAATTTTAAGAGTTTAAGATTGTTTTAACATATAATTGGTGAAAAATAAAATGTTATTTTAAATATATATATATATATATATATATATCTTGAACAATCATTGAGAAATGACAAGTAGTTGAATACAGAACTGAACAGCAAGAAAAGAATGGGCTAGATAACCACTGGGAAATTTACAAGTCTTTTTTTTTAATTATTACAAGCTTCTCCCTGAAACAAAGGTCCACATTTTTTAACACCAATATTCTGCAAGTCTTGTATAGCTACAAGAAAGGGAATTATATTCCATTTTCCAAAAAATTGAAACTGAAGGGCACACAAAGAGCAATGCAGAAGCACATGAGGGTGGGAGGAGATAGGTGGTGGTGAAGCAAACAAGCAACACATTACAAACACGGATTAGAAAGGAGAAACAAGTAAAGATTCTAAGAAAAGATATACAGAAGCAAAAAAAAAAAAAAAAAAGACAAGCAAGGGACAACTAATGGATAGCACACCTACCCATGTCAAAAGAACAAAAGGCCCCAGACAGGTTGGGTTAATCTGACTGTGACAAATTTATGGAAGGCCATGGAAAAGGGCTGCAAAGGATAGGAATGCATGAATGTATTGCAATATGCAACCTTGGAGAGAATATCCACATTGATGAGATTACAGATCCATCTGAGTATAACAGAGTACTACAAACTATAGGCCAAGATAATTTTATAAGTTACAAAAAATACATTCTCTAGAAACTAAGTCAACAATGACAATCTTTTTCAATATTGATTCATCATCATACACAGAAGTTATGGTTTATTATCATTATATCTTTTTAAAAGGATAAATTATGTCCTTATTTTCTTTTCAAAAAGCTGTATTTATTCATGTTTTTGGCATTGTTACCGAAGTCATATTCTCTTTTGAAAATCAGAAAAATAAAGCTAGATCTAGGAGATTAACTGATGAATAAGTATGAATTCAATAAAAAAAAGATGGGTCACACATTGGCCAATTCCGCTCCAATACAATTTTGATTTAATTTTGTTACCGTATTTCCCAAATCAAAAATTGGTACCTGTTGTCTCACAAAACAAAAGCAAAAACGTTTCCTTAATAAAGTCACATTCTTGAAACCAGGACTATCACAGCAAATCTAGGATTTACCATTATTGGAAATGTAAGTCTTATGCAGAAACTCCACTCACAGAAAGTCAACTGCTAAGAAACCCAAAAAGGGGAAGAGAATATTGGCTCATTCTCTTTCACCCATAAGACACTGCACATCCCTGATAGGCCTCCTGTCTCCTGGTTCCTATAACTTCTAATCAGGTTCTTTACCTAATAGCATTTATGCATTTTCAGTTAACAGTTCTGAATATCAAGACAACAGCAATCAGCTCCTTATAAACCTTGTTCAAAACCTTAATCTCAAGTCAAAGGAGGCAGTCAACTATCAATTCTTTATATCTCTTCCCAAAAATACAATTAAGGGAAAATACTAAATAGATTACAAAGTAAAAACAGTTTTAGAATCATAAAAAAAACTAGTTAAGTAAGCAATAAAATTTAGTTGCCAAAATAAGAAAAAAATGCTTATAAGGCTACAACAGGAATGTTATATATAAGATGAGCAAGGAAATCTTACCTTTGTTTTTTAATTGACAAGGGCTTAACTAGGGCACTACGTCCAATTTGGAACACCACAGACCAAGTTGGTGGATAACTCAAGCTGCAAAGAGCAAGAACAGTAAATTACAAAGATTTTTTAAAATGTCTTACTGGTGCTTGAAAAAAAAGAAATCACTGTCACTCTGTGGTCATCAGTCTACCCTAAAAGAATCTTAACTTATAACTAAAAATAACTAATAAATAAAGTTAAGCAAAACATGATTGGGAGAGATATAAACAGATATAAAAAGTAGCTATAAAAGAAAAATGCAATATATGTAAAAGGTTTTCATGGAAAGGAAAATAGTAAATTGCTCAAGTTTTCTGGAAATTTCAAAGGAACAAAATTTGGTTAAACCAGTTTGGCAATTTTGAGAGAAAAAAGCACACCTGTCTGTCTTGCCCTGGCCCCTCTTTGTGGTTGAGAAGGAAGATGTAATCTATACAACAGAGCAGGCTAACATGAAGCCAAAGCAGGCAGCAATGGTTTTTAGAAGTCTGGGCCTTCACAGAAAGTTAACAGGGATATTGCAGCTGCAAACTTGGCAAGCTCCTGAGTCCCTGCTGCTCAGAGAGATGTGGAAGCTTTAAATAACTTCCTATAATGTTGCAGAGAGCCACCCAGCCCTGGTGCAGGATTATTAAATTTTAATGACCCTAAGCATAAAACTAAACTGAGGACCTTTAAAAGCCACAGAAATGAACTGAAGGTCTTTAAAATTTAAATGATACCATGCTGAGGCTAGGTAGTTCCCTGGCACAACAGAGGGAACTATTTTAAGTTCCCACAGTTCAAAGCGTGCAACAAATAGTCAAAGAACACATACCTTCGTATGTGAGAAGCAGCTGGGCAGTATCACTTCCCTAACTTATTTGCTGTCCCATACCCTACCTCAGGATCATTAGAGTTGAAATGGACCGTAGAGGTCATCTATACCATTGGTGTCAAACTCAAACTGAAATGGGCATCATTAAACCTTACATAAAGATCCCTATGAACCACATATTGACTTAGTTTTAAAATGTAATTATCTATGTTTCATTGTATTTTTGGTTATTTTGTTAAATACTTCCCAATTATGTTTTAATCTGGTTTGGCTGAGTGTGATAGGCTGTGTGTTTGACAACTCTGATCTAGTCTATTCCACTCATTCTTAAGCCAAAAACCACCCAAGTATTAAGTAGTAAAACCAGGATTCACACCTATGCCCACTGACTCTAGTATTCTTTCCACTGTACCATGCTGCATCTCATGTCTTAGTTATTAAAGATTTTTGACAGAAGACATTTTGCCAACTTTTAAAGAGCTTAATATTTAAAGTATGTAATGTTAGGTAATATTACCATTATAGAGCCCAGGCATAAAGTCAAAATTAAAAGATCTAGGTCAACGCAGGAATGATAAGCAATTCTGATGTGAACAGGGCCACAAGATGCCTAATGTAACCAAAAGGGAAAGAACTAGAATTAGCAGACATATCAGAAACTAATGTGAACTAATTCAAGCACTGAAGGGCAATAATAGTAAATAATACCAGCTTACATTTATATAGTGCCTTATATATATTTGATCCATAAATATTCATGATAACAATTTGCTCAAGAGGTCTAAAACTTTTTGACAATAGCAAAAACCCTGATCCTTACGCCTTCTCATCAATAGACTTCACTGGCAGAGCTAAAAAAATACCAGGAATGGATCTATATCACATGCCCCAGGTTATCAGTGTAAAAAAAAATCAACAAAGCAAATAGGTTATATGTACACAGACTCAATGTTTTTAAGTACTGAATGCTGGTAAAGGGCATCAAGTTCATGCCATCCAATAATTGGCTACAGGATCTGGGGATATTTAACTTGAAAAAGTCTTAGGGGTGTTTTCAAGTAACCAAAATGCTCTCATGAGGAAAAAGAAATAGAAGGCCAAACTCAGAGTAATGAATTTAAGTTGCAGGGGGTCACTGATGAAACAAAATTTTCTTAATACAAGTATTTATTAAGCACTTGTGTGTTAACCCTTACAATAAGAGCTATCCAAAAGTATAGCGGGTTACCTTGATACAGTAGATCACCTTTCTTACTTAAAGTTTTTCCAGCAAAGGCAGAATGACCACTTGTCAAGTATGTGTAGAGAGGATTTTTTTTTTCAGATATGGGTTGGACTAGATTCCCTATAACTGATATTTTATGATTCTGTGAGTTTAGGGAAGGAAGAGAGCAAGGCAGCTGATCCACTCAAAATTACACAGCTGAGACTCAGAGTAAACCCAGAAAGAGACAGAGTTCGTAGGCAGAACTGGCAAAAGTTTCCTCACCTGGGAGTTCCCTATACCAATGAAATCACAATTCTAATCTCTATCTCTACTGTTAATGTAAAACTACATCTTTTCATTAACCATGGCTATGAAAAGATACAATATAGGATTTGAATAGTGGACAAGGGAGTGATTCAAATAATCACTTTTTTTAGAACTTGGAAACCTTGTATATATATTTAAAGGGAAAGAAAGGAGGAGACTAATGATAATGATGACCCAGCGAGTGGGAGAGAATCTGAAAGGAAGATCTATAGTACCTGGGAAGTATTCCAAAGTAATTAAATTATTCTCAAGTAAATATAACATTACTTTACATAAAGAGAAACAATAGTGCTAATATTCTTGACAAAGTAGGTGACAAGTAGGGCTTTTAAGGAGGTAGAAAAATTCCAAAGAACAAGGGAACTAGGGTTAACTGGCTAAAACCATTATACTAATGATTATTATATAAGGCAAAAATTATAACCCAGCATATTCCCTTAAGCAGAATTTACATCCTAATCTCAGGACATGAAAATTTTAAGAGTCAAAATCTTAAACATTACAGATCAAAGAATTCCAGAGTTAGAAGGGGTTTTGGTGACCATGTAATCCAACTCATGCCACCAAAAGAACCACCAAAAGAATTCCACTGAAATGTATCTCCTCCTGCCTGACTTATTCTTCTCAGGTTTCTTTGCTGTCCCAGTCCTTATGTGAGTGTACTCTAAGGCTCTGTCCTGCTTTCTCTTGTCTCTATATATTCTCTAAGGTTCAACTATTATGTTAATGCAGATAACTCCTATGTCTACATATACTACTCCATATTATATTTGCTAGATAGAGTTGCCTGATATACCATACACACCTTAAATTCATGGCCAAGGCAGAATTCATCTTCTCCCCAAAATTAGTCTCTCTTCCTCATACCCCTATTTCTGCCAAAAACACCAGGTTTCATTCACTCAGGCTCATAACCCAGGGGTCATCCTCATCTCTTTCCCCTGATTCACTCCCAGTGATTCACTCTGAAGTGAGAATCCACTCACAGTGGGTTCGTCCACTCTGGTGCCAAGTTTTATCAAATCTATCCGTACATCTCCTGCATCCTGCCACGTCAGCCCTTCATCACTTATCCTACTGAAATAGCCCAGTCTTCCTGCCTTCAGTCTCTTCCCTCTCCAATAAATCCTTCACACAGCTGCCAAACTGATATCTCTAAAGCACAGGTCTGACCATGTCATTCTCCTGCTCAAGATGATTCAATGGTTCCATCTTCAACATGGCATCACTGTCAGAAACTCAATTTATTTCCAAGTCGTCACCAACCCTATTGCTTGTTCCAAACTTTTCTTTTTGGTACAAGTTATCTTCTTCCAGGACTATATTCCTTGAATAGATGGGCTTTAAAAAATAATCAGCACAATTTAAATGTCACTGGAGAGTCTAACAACTCTCAATTATTCCAATTGAAGGCTTTTTAATGATTAAAATCTTTTATGGAGGGGTACCAGTTCAGGAAGGATACTGACAAACTGATGGGTGTCCCCGGAAGGCTGAGCATGAGACATTGCCATAGGAAAACTATTTGGAGAAACTAAGTTAAGAAGAAATAAGAGAAACACAAATATTTAAAGACCTGTCTTGTGGGAGAAGGATTATATTTGTTTTACCTGGCCCTGTACTAGCAGCAAAGTTGCAAAAAAAGGTATTATTGGCTATAAGGAAAAACTTTAACCATTAAAGCTATCCAAAAGTGGAATGGACTGCCCCAGCAGGTGGTGGGTCACCCCTTACTAGAGTGCCTTCAAGTGAGGACAAGATGACTCTTTGTTGGTAATGTAGTAAAAGTCTTGTTCAGATACAGTTTGGATCAGAGGCCATGAAGAATTCTTCCAAATATGAAATTCTATCCAAATATGAAATTCTAGAATTCTTTTTTGTAATTGTTTAATTTATGAAATAACACAAGTATTTCTATACTAGTTGAATAAAAAAAGATGATTGCACATAAAACTGCAAATCTATTATGTACTAACTTGCTGTTCCTTTTAAATATATAATAAAGTTATCATGTAATTAATTCTTGGTTGTCCTTTTGTTGTGCTATACCTGCAAAGACATGATCTGTGACTTATAAGAAACATAAAAACTACCAAAGTAGTATTTACAAGAAACACTACAGGAGTGATTCATAACATTTTTTGTGTCAATTAATCAATCAGTAAACATTTATTAAGTGCCTTCAGGCACTGTACTAAGTCTAGTGAAGCCTATGTATTCCTTCTCAGAATAATGTTCTTAAATGCATAAAATAAATATACAGGATCCCAAAGGAAATCATTATAATAAAATACAGTCATCAAAACACTGAGAAATCAAATTTACAGCCCATGCTAAGAACCTCTGCTCTAGAAGATCCCTTGAAACCAAAACAATTCAGGATCCTCTAAAACTCAAAATCACAAAACACAAAGTCAGAAAGGAGTGGTAAAGGTGAGTAGATGAGTAGAGAAGAGGGGAAAGAGACATCATTATTATTCATAAGTATATTGGTTTATCTCTAACATAAAAGGGGCAGTAGAGCTGAGAGGAAGGAAAAATCCTAAAGAACTTTCCAGTTTCTTCTAAATCAGGTCTTTAACAATATAGTTTCACTATTATGTTTTTAATAAAATGGAAACACTTCACTATAATATAAATAGTGATATGAATTTTAACATTTCAAAAGTTGTGTCCAAATAATGTTCTGGAAAACTACATATCCATTTATCTCTGACCAACACCTGTTTTGTTGTGAATTCTCACAAAAATAATTTCCATATGTATATACACATATATGTGTGCATGCATTTTATGTTTAGGTATACATATGTATCTACAAGCACGTGTGTGTGTAAATATGCAAGTATGTGTATATAACCTTATGTCAACATTTGTAAGGAGGAACAGCGTATATTCTTTAGATCAGAGAATTCAATCCATCTTATTTATATTTTTACTCAGCTAAAAAGATTAAGCAAAATGCTTGTTCTTCAAAAATTTTCATGCAGAAACTGGACAGAGGCACCCAAGTGATTTTAGAAATGCTGTTTTGATATTATTTGAATTTCAGTGAGTTACCACAATTTATATACAAACACTATATTTACTAGAACAAAGGATTTTTAAAAAAATTATACTGTCCATATATAAGTATAAAGAGATTTCTTTAAACCTTAGGAAAATAATCAAAGGTATCTGAATACATACTAACTTTTTGGGTTCACCTACGTTTGATAAAGTGTGAGTGGTATTTCACTCAACAAAGGAAAGCCACTTCATGAGCAATAGCCTTTAGAGTCTTTAGTTCACACTATGAAAACTATGCCAACTTTCCATGTGAACACCACCACCTAAACTACTTGACACTCATTACTAATACTAGAAGTCATTTCTATGGCAGCAAAGATAAGCATTTCTAGAGGCGAGTGTGTGATGTGCAACATAAAAGATAGCTTTCTCTATGTGCTAGATTATATTTTTTCCTGGAATGTAACATAAGGGCCTATATGATAACTCAGAATGGCAACATAAGATACTAGGTATCATTTAATTAAACTTTTGGTATATGAGCCTATGTTTTTCTCAGAATACATGTTAATAGAGTTACCTACTCATCACTTCTTGTTATTCAAGCAAACTTGTTAGGTATATTAAATATCTTTCCCTTTATTCCAATTTGTCTCTTTAATTTAACATGAGAAAAGTATGCTAACTATAATCTTAAAACAGCAGAATATGGTACAAATTATGCTGTATTTGGAGTCAGAAGACTGAGGTTTGCATCCTGGCTCTCCTATATACCTGTGTGATTGGGGGGAAGAGAGGAGCTGGTTACTTAACTTATCTGGATTCAGTCTGCTTGTCTACAGAACAAATGAATTAGACTGGAAGACTCCTCAAGTCCTTTCCAGCTCTAAATCATGATGTTATGAACAACTCTGGTGGAGATCAAAAAATAATTTATAATTTTGGAGCTATGTTTATTTTTAAAAGTGAGTATTACATGAAATGGCCCATTTGATTCAGATCCTATTTGTACTGGACAGACTTTTAATAAGGTCTTTTTGAAATGGATGACA